TCGGCACTCTGACAATAGTCAGAGGATGCAGGATTAACTAATATTTAGATAGGCTGGTTGCATTAACGCTCACCTAATTTCCTTAATAAACAGATTTTAGCCAAGCCCGTGCAACTTGCTATTCCCAGTGGTCAAATGATTAAAAGGTCTACATGTTATCGGCACGCAATGGCTACGAATAATCAAATGCGCCAATTAATCAATTTCGATTATGCCGTACGATAAGGGTAACGAGACTCCACATAATCTACTAGATACAATGAGCGCAAAGATAAGTTAATGATTAATGTAAGCACGTATGCTGTATATTGACTGATCGCTTGCCTTTATTTCCTATAATGTATAAACTTATTGTATATGATATACTTTTATAATGGCCATTATCGATTATTAAAACTGATATTCAGCAAAAGAGAGGGTGTGTTTCGTATTTTCACTGAAATTGAAAGGAGGCCGTTGTTATCGGCTCCGTTTTGTTATAAATATCCACACAGTGAAGATGATGCTCAAATATGCAGCACGGCGCCTCAACATTTCTGCTGTCTGTTAAGTTGTTAATATTAAAATGAAAATAGGCAGTTCCTTATATCATGTTTACATTTTATGGTTGAGAAAGTGAAACAACGTAGCCAGGGTGATGTGAATGAAGTTATAAAGTACACTATTCCCTTTGAAGATTTACCCGTGTCCTCGGTCTGTTTTCCATATCAAACTGAAAAGAAGAGACTGCAGCCTTGATGAAACTTGCGAAGTCTTAACTTACACGGAGAAGATGCAGGACTGAACTGTGTGTGTTAGGCTACTTAATATTGAGGAAAAGCCCCAATCAGAGAGGCGAATGTCTGCAGCCCCGCCTCCGTTTTCAGATGTCTCCGTTTTCCATCATCCACACTGAGACGGAGGAGCAGCGTTTCAGAATGAAAACGGCCTCTCCAGCGTTTTCGAAACGCTCCGTTTTCGGCGCTCGAGAACTCCGGCGTAGTGTGGACGGATGGCGTAACAGTAACAAAACTTATGCGTTTTCAAACTAAAACGCATTAGTATAAACGAGGCCTCAGAGATGCTGCAATGGGGTGTCTTTTTACAAGATCTCCCCCCGTCCTAAAGCACATCTTACCTTATATACTCAAGTCAAAACAAACAGCCATAAATTCAAGACAATAGAAGTGTCACAGAAACCCTGGCCTGGTGAATTTGAGGACTTAACCAGCTCTTAGGAGGTAGAGCATCTTATCAAGATCTTATAGAAGTCAAAAACCAAATCAACATATACCAGTAAAATATTACTGTAAAATTAAGACCACTTTACCAATCACACAAAGACATTTAAAATGATACCAAACATGAATATAGTGCTGCAAGATACACCATATTAAAACCTTGAACATTTTATGTGAAATGTGCTCTAATCAGAAGGTAACATAAGGGTCAAGAAGGAGGGTTTAAGTGGAAGGAGAAGGGTGACTTCTTCGCATTACCCCCTGCTGTTGAGTAGCTCTGTTTCTCCAGCCTATGTTTGCATTGTCAACTGTGATTTGAATAGAACAGTGGAACAGTTGGTTTCTTCATCACTTCTCAGATTAGAAAATGCATTGGAACATTGCATCTTGTCTCATGAAATTCCATAACAGTTCTTATGGTCTGATATTTTGGATCCTTACATACGGAACCCGTTTCTGTTTTTTTTTTTTTTTTTTTTTTTGTCTAAGCAAGTATTTTACAGAACTTTAAAAATGCTCAAAAATGTCTCTGTCAGCTTTTTTAAACAATTATATTTGATTTACCAAAGTCACACAAGTGGTAATTTCACATCGGTCACATCCATAACGACACTTTTTCCTCTTAAATGCAAAAAATATATCGTAAAATAAAATCAATCATTTTTGTATTATAGAGAGCCAACTCTTATCATTTTGATGATCATTACTTCTTTTGGGTCTTGCAGTTTAATTCACAGAATGTCTACTAAGTATTTTCAATTAAAGTTCAAAACATGTTTATAGAACGATATTTTTCTAATCCCATAACTCTGTGGTCAGTTGTTCTGGAAAATATAAACAGTTTAATACAGTGTTAAACAAATATTTTCTATGTGAATTTATGTTCTGAGTTTTTACTGCAAATGTCACATCCATAACACTGGAATTGCTCATATATAAATACAAACCTAACTTATTTTCAGCTAAAAACTACTGTATATAATTAAGCTTAAAATTACTTTGTTTAATTTTGTTACTGGATAATAATGTTAGTCTTAGTTTTATGTTTTACTTTACACATATGTCACATGACTAAATGTAGGCCTAATAATGTTATTTTAAGTTTGTTCTGTTAGCAATTACAACATTTATTATTATTTTCTTCAATTAAAGAAAAATTATTTGAGATAAAATCTATCTAATCTTAAAATGACAGTGTTTTATTTAGTTTCTGGACAATGTTTCAGAATCAGTTGGTGTTGTATTTACAAGTTTATTTCTTGTATTTATTTAGATATTTGTGGTGAAAATACTGTTCCTTATTATTGAGAAGTGAAAGATTAAATATTATAGATTGTATCTGCCTGTCAGTTTACATAAAAAGTAACATACATATATAATAATACAAAAAAAAAGTACACACAGTAAATAGTAGTAGTAGCAAAAAAAAAAAAAAAAAAAGATTATATTTATATATAATTATTAAATAAAATATCCACAATACATCATATTATTCAATATATCACATTGATATTCAATTTATTATATTATTACTCAACATTGATTATTCATACAAATCAATACAAAAATAGATCAGAATAAACTGTACATTTTTAGGATAAAACAGTAATAAAAACAATAAAAATCAGTATATTTATAATGATTAATTTATAATCATTTAGATGTGTGTGTGTGTGTGTGTGTGTGTGTGTGTGTGTCTGTCTATTATATATCTAGTTTAGATAGCTTGTCAAATATGGTGTTGGGATTTTGAATGTAAACAAGTGTTCTGGAATGTGCTGTCATAGAAACAGAAGAACGCAGCATTAAAAGTAGAAGACAGTTCAGAATCTCCTCATTGCGTCTTCTCATTGCAGTTGGTAATAGTAGTGTTCCCAGTGAATTCTGTTATTATGGCATTGAAAAGAAAGCGTTGTTCTCAAGACACTCAAGTGTATGATTTACATACTCGTACACCTCCAACATCCAGCGCCAATGTGGCTGAGAACCATTCACCTGTTGGTGTTGGTGAGGAGATTGAGATACAAGTGAGAAAGAAGAGGAGGTGGGAGAGTTTTGAAAAGCCGGTCTCCCTTTACGCTGAGGGTAAATCCAGTCACTGTTTGTCAATCTGACCATGCTTTGTGTTCACTAGATCTCTGTACATGTACATATAGGCCCAGACAGATTCTGTGGACATGTTTTGCTATTTCTGCTGAGAATTTTGTTAAAAAAAGTCTGCAGATTTATGAGGAATGATTTTGAGAGTAAAGTAACTAAAAACCGAACACATACAATAAAAAAAATAACTTTATAAATTGTTTTAGGTTTGTAACACAAATCTAAGTAGAACCAACTGTTTGGTAATCAAAGTTTCTCATAATTTATCCACTAAAAGAGAAAACTTTACAACAATCTGTATTCTACATAAATCATTTAAATAATTGCAGATTATTAATAATATCACTGAAATATAAAATGGTATAAATATCAATATTCAATGGACTCAATAATGGGCATAAAATGTGTATGATTCAGATTTGTTGAGGGCAAATTATAAGCATTCACTATAAGAAATCCAATTCATGACTGTTTCTGATCTCTAAGATGAAGTGTGTCTTTACACTTTACATCAAAATACAAATCAATTTTATAAGCCATTATTATTATCATTAATGCATGTCTTACATCTCTAAATACAGATGACAACCAATGGATGACTTTTCTCAGTGGCCAAAAGAGAAAACGAAGTTGTCACAGCTCTCATGTGAACGATTTCCATCCTCATACACCTCCGATATCCATCACCAGCCTTCAGTCCACTGATGTTGCTGAGGAAAATGAGAGAAAGAGGAGAAGGACTGACAGTCCTGAAAAGCTGCTCTCCTGTAAAGTCCAGAAGTCCAGCAGCAGCTCTAGTCAGGAGGACCAGAATCCTGTTCAGATCCACAAGAAGAGTTCTGAAGGTAAATCTAGTGGTCATTTGAGAATGTGTGGCCTTCTCTTATGATCCTCTTCAGTATGAAGTAGAGTACATTACATTAAGTTCTGTAAATATAAATATATATTTTTAAAAAGCACTCTAAAAGTTTCAATCACTGTTTGCTGTATTTTGAAGTGTCCACCATATCAGTATTGTGCAGGTTCATTTTCACGATGTATTGAATTATTGAATATAGGCATATGTCTATTCCACCTCAAACATTACACACGTGTCTGTCAGTGCTTGACATTTCACATCAGCTGCAATTATTCATCTTTTAACAGGTGACATTCTGGACCAGTATGAACTCGGCAAGGAGATTGGAGAGGGAGGATTTGGCAGCGTCTATGAAGGGAAGCGCTTGGAGGATGGCCTTGAGGTGAACAATCCCTTTAACATATATTATGTTCACTTTTTAGTGCACTTGATGTGATTATAACAGAAGTGTTGTTTTGTTGAACAGGTGGCAGTAAAAATTGCCAGAAAGCCACCGAACATGAAATACATCAACATCGTATGTAGACTTAAACATGTAAAGGCACTGACAACAGTATATTTGGGGAAGCAACACCACCTAACTAATCTTTCTTCTAGGCTGGTCATCCTGAGCCCCTTCCTTTAGAGATCGGCCTGTTGATACTGGCTCATAGAGGCGGCAAGGTTCCAGAGATCATTGAGCTGCTGGACTGGCAGGACCAGCAGGATCGTTACATCATGATCCTGGAACGACCTTCACCATGTGTAGATCTGTTGGACTTCATAATGTCTCTCGGCTCCATCACTGAACGCCAGGCTCAAAAGATCATGGAGCAGGCAACAACAGCGGGTCTCATGTGCTGCAGACGTGGGGTATTTCACAGAGACATAAAGCTGGAGAACCTGCTGGTCAACACTGACACGCTGGAGGTCAAGCTAATTGACTTTGGCTGTGGAGCTCTTCTCCAGGAATCTGGCTATGACAGTTTCTGTGGTATGTATTAAACTTAACACCTGTAGTCTGTACTGTCAATTTGACCAATCATGTATTTTCATGTTACAGAGAAAACATGCTTTAGTGTTTCATGCTGAGACCAAATCTTGTTTCTTCAGGCACAAAGGAGTACTTCCCACCGGAGTACTACCTGGACGACGAATACCATGCAGAACCATCCACTGTATGGTCTTTAGGAGTTCTGTTATTCCTGCTGCTGTGTCAACGATTTCCTGAAGTCATGGACACGCAGAGGATCGATGATGGAAACTGGACTGAGCCTGGATTGTCAGAAGGTAAGACGTCATTCATCACATCATAGACGAGCAGTTGTAGTTTAAATCATACAAAATCATGGATTAAAACTAAGAGTTGGATATTGGATAATAGTGACAATGTTCTGATTCTAAAGGAGAGTAGAGTCAGATCTTATAGATGAATAAAATGACAGCAGATGTAAAGTTGAAGTTGATAATGTGTTTCTCTCACTTTTTCCCACCATCGTTATGCACAGAATGCTGTGACTTGATTCAAGCTCTCCTGCAGGAAAACCCAAGCCAGCGGATTTCTCTGGAAGAAATCATTCTCCATCAATGGTTTAAGGTACTGAACTGTAGATCAGCTTCTAATAATTAGGAAAATAGATTCTCCTATCATTTGTTTTTTTATTGTACATTTCAAATGTTTATTGTGACGAATCTGAATCAATAACCTTGATTTGGTGTGTGTCTGTATGTTTCAGGTCAAGGAATAAGCAATAAGGAATGTAGTGCAAATGGATGGGAAAGATTATTTGCACTACTGAGCACCACAGTTCCTGACGCTAAAAGTTACAGATTCAACAGGAGAGCCTAAAAAAAGACCCAGCAGCAACAAAAAATCCTAAAAAAAGGTCACAGCAACAACAGAAGATCCTGAAAAAAGATCAAGCCTCAAGAAAAGATCCTGAGAAGAGGGCACAGCTTTAACAATGAAAACATTTGTAAATAAAAACATGAATAAAATATAATTTGTCGCACCAGTCCTGTTTTCATCAAAAATACATCAAATCAGCCAAGATGCTGAAAAAGCAGACAGCAGTGAATGAAACACTTAAACACATCACTTGAACACCTAAACATCAGGACAGTTAAACACATATACACTCTCACACACACTTATAAACTGATGTGACTGTAACTGAGCAAGGTTTTGGGAAATGTAAACAAATTTAGTAATTAAAGCACAATGTAGAAAAAAGTAAGAAGAGGATTGTGCAGACACTCTCTCTCTCTCTCTCTCTCTCTCTCTCACAGACACACACACACACACACACACACAGAGGCTTGTACATATCTGTAAATTCAGACAGTATCAGTCAGAGGCCACTAGAGGACAGACACTAGCCATTCTGCTGGAAAAGCAAAGAAAATTGGTTCATTCCAGAACAAGTGTTGAAACCGCATAAGGCCTAAATGACCTTTAACCTTTGATCAGTTTTCCCTCAACACTCAGTTTTTGTAAATTATAAGCAGTGTGGAAAAAAAAGCTAGATTTACCCAGCGCTGAGAATGACCTAGACTCAGGGCCAGCCCAAGCCTGCAGGGGGCCCTAAGCAGGATTTTATTTGGGGCCCCCTTGGTGCAAACAATATGACAAATTATGGTCAATCCTTGATAATTCGCACACTATAAATTTAAAACACACATTATCGATTTTCAACTAATTTTATGTAAACATGGAAACATTTTATGTTTAGCCCTGGTTGATTTTTAATTAAAAAATATGTATTCCCACTATTTTTTCAACTGATCAGAATGCTCTGAGAGGTGAGCACAGACTCATCTGAGCACGTATGTAGAACATTAGTTATTTACTCATCTATTTAAGTTTTTTAATTCCACTAATATTTTTTGTCAAAATACCATCTACAAGACTTTGACAAGGTCTGTAAGAGTCAAATAAACGCAAGGCCCTTCTAATTAAATGTTCATGTCCTATTGATATCTTTATATATTTTGGCGGAGTTAAAAAGTTTGAGCACATAAGAAGTTGCACTGGCCGCGGGCACGCGCGAGCAATATAGCGAAGTGAAAGCGCGTCTGTAAGAAAGAAACTAGTGGCAAATTCGGGGGAGCTGGATGTCTGAAACACACAAATACATTGGCCCAGATTGGGATGAAGAAAGTGTCTGTATGCCTGAGATTTTTATCATTGCAATGGATGGCTCATCTGGCAGTGACGCTGGTGTATGTCTAATGATCTGCCATTACAGGAAGCGCCACCTGGTGGCGGCTGGGTGTACTGTAGCTAAAGCGGTTATCTGCTGCAGTCAGTGTGGAAAACTCATTAATTAAATCAAATCTTTTGTAAATTTAGGTAAATATCTTGGCACCTGAGTATGTATCGCGGTTAGAAATAACACTATACATGGGCATATATTTTGTCCCACCACTAATCCACAACTCAACAAACTAAAACGAAAGTCACACAATAATTTCAAGCACTCTTGGGGGCCCTCTGGTGGCCACGGGGCCCTAAGCAGCCGCTTAGTTCGCTTATGCTTTGGGCCGGCTCTGCCTAGACTTGACCTTTGAGTTTTAAAATCCAAGACACAATTAACAGATGTAAGACTGTGTCGCGGGACCAACGGCATTCAACTAAAATAAAGTGGACAGAGTTTGTCGGTCATCCTGCTTACAATCTCAAAACATCAACAATCACACTCTTACGTAACATCATTAACTGTGTCATACATATAGGCGTTATAACCTGATTAACTTAAGAAATAAACTAAGAAAATTTCCGTGTTTGTGTGTGTGTGTGTGTGTGTGTGTGTGTACAATTCTGAACGATATCTCAATATCTCAAGCATACAAACATCAGACAGCTTCTAGGCTTTTCGCACACTTAACCCTCTACCGCATGGTGTTGCCATATGGCAACATGATATTTGTGTTTATTACCCTGTCACTGTTTCTTTAAGACCAACATTGAATTGTTTTAGTTGGAAAGAGAAGACCTTAGTGTGGCCAATGATGTGCTTTGGTTAAGTTACATGACATGCAGTGTTTTTCTGTTTCGTGATTTCTGGCAGACTGGCGTTCATAGTGAGTAGTTGCTGAATGCAAATGTAAACTTCAATAAAGACAAAGCATCAACTCATGTCAGATCAACAAAGAAATCTGTAACATCACCTCCAGTAAGTTACGATGACATATTCACTACTCAATTTTTTTTTATCAATTAAGTTTTTTGTAAAGCGTTTAAATGTATGTGTTTCCAAGTGCCAACACTGTGGAATAGTGGAACGTGCAATATTGCAATGGGTTAGCCAGCTAGCAAGGTCAGCTGTGAACTTTTAAGTTGCAACAATAACAACATGAATGCTAGTAATATATTGTTGATTAGGTGTATGTTAATGACATTTGCATTATGGATAAAATCTAGTTTTAATGGCAATACTACTTTTGAATAGATATGAATACAGGGAACAGTGTATTAGCGAGCACCACCATGTTCAATGATAAGTGAACGATGAAAAGGACAGAACTGGCTCTTCCTGCAGATGAAAGTGAGGATGAGATTTTTTAGTGACCATGAGAATTTTTATGAGTTTTAGTGAGCATGAGAATGATGCAGACTGGAGATTTGGTAAGAGCAGTGATGGAGACAGTTCGAGTAAGTTAGCTCTGAGGCAGATAAGACAGGCGTAGTAAAGTTTAGTGTAATTTATAAACATTGTTAGCTAGTAGCTACTTTATTCTGATGTATCTGGATATACTAGACTTGTTATTTATTTGTTATAATATTTACTGGAGAAAATATTTATCTTTACTGTATGTTATATACGTGACAATAAAATATTAGCTTTTTAGTAATATTAATCAAAAAAATTAATAAATGAAAGCTATTGGAATATCAGCTATTGGAAAGTATGTATAAGGTGTCATTTATAAGTTAATAAAGTTAAAGCTTATAATACTGCAACACCAATTAAATTATTTCAAACAACAAAATTATTAATTATAAGGAAATTTTTTAATTTGACATTTGTAAGTTGGACCCACTGTTGGAATTACCTTAAAAAATCTATTTAAGCAATTTTAATGTCAATTTTGTTTATAGATCTATCATATTGCGCGCAGTAGAGGGTTAAAGTACAATCTGTTTTTAGCTCCTTACCCAAGGCTGAGTGTAATCTCTGCAGTCTCATTAAAACTGCTTTAAAATGGTACAATATACATCCAAACTGGCAGCTTACATACAAAGAAATTCACTTCAAAAGATAAAAAAGGCAAATAACTCAGGAAACAGTCGTTTCCAATCCTCCACTCAGAAGCTCTCCATGACCTCTGACCTGGCTGGTTAGATAAAATTCTTTGTAAGAAGTCTACATTGCTGTTTTCTCAGTTATTTGCCATGGTTCGAGATGAGACTAGAAAATTGAAGAATACTGAAGACGTCGATCAATGCTTGGAGTATGGATGGAAATTATACATCAAATATAAAGAAACAAGAGACAGATGGTAAGGGTGGATTCAGGAGAAAGTCAAAATAAGACAGGAAAATAAGACAAACAACATAAAAAGGTCTTTTAGTGGCGATACCTTCAATACTTCATTGACTATTTCAAATGCCAGTAGCGGATCTGCTGGTGCTCTTTATAGATAATTACAAACTTTGACATAGTTAATCAGTATGAGACAAAAATATTGAATAATACTCCAGTCTACACACTGGTCAAAAACTTCCAACTCATGTGTAATAGCAGCAAGAGCAGAGAGCTATTTTTTATATCATCACCTTGAATTTATAAGGTTGTATATGACATTTTTGTCAAAACTGAGTTATTCACATTTTCTTATTAAATGACAACTTATTTACATTATGGCATTTTATTTATAAATTCTCAACATTTTAAGGATTAGTATTTAGAAAGCAAAAAAAGGTTTATCTATAAAGTCGAACTCTAGCTTAACTCTATAAGGTTTTTTTCTCTTCTTCTTCATTCTTTTATATCACATTTTACCTATTATTATGTTTTTTTAATCATTTTATTATTTGTTTTTATTTTTATTTTACTTGTTTCTTTTTTTCTTGTTTATGTAAAGCACTTTGTATTGCCACTGTGTATGAAATGTGCCATATAAATAAACTTGCCTTGCCTTGAGCCAATCAGCATTTCCAATGCAAGCATAAGAGCCAATCAGGATCAGCTATCTTTGTCATTTCGCCGGACTGCTTTGTTGACAATGTAAAAGACCAGAATGAAACACAACATTAGAGTCGACTAAATAATGCAGCACCACATAAAATTGAGCAGAAACCTGAAACTGAAAATGTGTGTAAATATGATGATTTAGAGGCATTTTTGACATTGAGATGAAATGTTATACTTTACATTGTTGAAAAAGAGACAGTTATTGAAAAATTTTGTATTTTCTTTTCGGCTTTGTCCATTTATTAATCTGGGATTGCCACAGGCGTGCGCCCTACTTAATGATAGATGCGCACATCTACTTTAGTGAACAGAACCTGCATAGGCTGTGGATAACAGGTAATAAAGTTGTTAATAATAATCAGTTTGTGGCACAGAGTGATTGTTTGGGAGCCGCGCACAAAATATGAACAGCACTTAGCAGTGAAAATGAAAACGAAAGTGTGCACATCATTTAATCATATCGCATTTTAGAGTTATGATTGCGACAAGCATTTGATATGTTTTTTCTTTTATAGCGAACACACAGTTGTGTTCACAGTTGTGAAAATAAATGTTTACAGTGTCAGTATAACTACTCTAGTCTGTATAATGTTGATTTTACCAGTGAATAAATGGTCTAATAATGTTGTCAAGGACAGATTGCAAGCATA